TACTTCCTCTTAATATTACCACGTTATTTTTATTTAACTGTTCATTTAAATGGTGGTGGCCCATCCTCCCCAACGCCCCCCCCCCCAGAGGTGGTGGCTGGGGAATTCTGGGAGTTGAAGTCCACACATCTTAAAGTTGCCAAGTTTGAAAAACACGGTTTTGAAGCAACTAATTTGAGGAGCCAAACTCCTTAGGATATCTGTCAAAGCCCCAAAGTGGAGCTGTAGAGAAATCGGCACCGCTTTTGGGGAGCCAGCCCTTCATAATGAAACACCCACAAACCCTGGGAGCAAAGAGCTAATCATCCGTCAAGAACTGCCCTCGCCGGGATGGAGAGGTCGTGGGGCGTCTCGCACCTCGATGGCTAGACTTAAGGGTCAGGCCGCCCTGACCTACTAGGGCCGCTGGTCCACAGCTCCCCACCCACCTAACAAAACATCTCCTGCCCTCCAAAACCGGCAGCGGATGATTGGACCCGAACTGCACCTGCACCAGAAGCTTCACGTAGAGCAGCGGGTGGCTGAGGACCGTGAAGCCAGCGCTCAGCGCCACGAAAAGAGCGTCCGCGCCCTCAGCCGGACCGGGTCCCATTCCGGGCCCGGCGGGAATCACCGCAGGACTCACAGGGATGGCAGCCATTCCCCCCGCCCGCATCCAACCAGGAAGCACTCTTCCGCGGTCACATGATCAGACGCTTTGGCGTCATCACGTCTCGCAAGGCAATGGCCTATCGCATGGAGCGGTTGGCTTGGCCGGCCTCGTACATAGACACAAAAACGTGTAGAAAGACGACTAGCAAGTCGGAATACAAAACGAGGGTACGCTACTGTAGTTCCGTCTTATTGCCAAGAGAACTGGAAGGTTGTGCCGGTGATCTCGCAGGAGCGAGCTCGACTACGGGGTCTCTCTACCTATATTTACTCAATTGAAAAGGAAGAGCAATCTCGTTCTCGTCCTATCCTTCCCCTCAGCCCCCCCCCCCCGGGCGGATTGGGAACTCTCTATAGCAAACAAGGGAAAAACTCTCCAGTTTTCGCACGTCTGAAAGGAATGCCGCGTCTATCCTGAGAGGACAGCATCAAAGAGAGAAATGTATACTTCGTATCGTCTTATGTATTTGACTTACATTTGGCCTTACTATTCCGGGGAGCACTTATTTTTTGAATGAAAATTATTTTTTTTAACGTCCTCCTTTGCAGTCTAAAGCCACGGGGTAGCGTAAAAATGAGTGGCGTGGCGCCCCGGTCAGCCATGCAAAATTCCCCCTCGCTTGTAACAAAGTCCGGTCTCGCGACTTGACCTCCTTCCACGTTCGAACAAGCCCGAGCAGCAGCTCCCCGGCACTGGCTGACCTCGGAAGCGGAGCGCGGCTGGAGGGAACCCACTTCCACCGGACTGGAAAAGTAAAGCACCCCCCCCCCCTTACAAAAAACCGACGGGAAACCATTTGTGCCTGATAATTGCCTGAAGCGATTACCGGACGTTGAGCGCGTCGTGCCTGACTGCGTTCCTCGGCTCTGAACACGCGGATTAAAGTTCTTCGCAGCGACGCTCGGAAAGAGCCCTCGTTGCGCCGCCGGGGAGAGGAAAACCCCTAACACTTTAGCCGCCTGGCGGTCTTCCGAATATTACAGCGAACTCTGTAACCACCCGCTGCCTACATTTTTCTTTCTCTTTTTTTTTTAAATCATTTTATTAAGAATTATAAATGAAAAGAATAAAAGCCAATACAGGCTACAAAAATGCAAACAGAAAAATACAAAGAAAAGAAAGAAGTGTGGAAAAGCAGAAAAGAAAAGAAAAGAAGCAACTTCTCCCTTCATCCCAGCAAGTAAAGACAATCTTAATAGTTTATCACTACAGTATCTCTAAATACAACATAATCTCTCTTCCCCCCATACCTTATCTATTGAATAGAAACAAAAAAACAAAATCCAAATGCTTTTTCAATTGTTCTTGGTCAGCAGAAGTCCAGTAAGAGCAACTGGATGTAATTTTTTTTCTCCTTTAGCTCTGGTGGAATAAGCCAACCTTGTATTTCTTCCCTGAGTTTTTAAAAATATTTTTTAACTCTTCAGAAAGAGTCCCAGAGCTAATTTTCTGTTCATCTGTGTTACAAGCCAAAAATCTTTCAGAACTTCAGCAGATTTCTTTTGTACAGTATATCCAATAAGTAGTTTATCCTTTTGTTTGTCATTGGTAACAAAGTCCTTCAAAACCTTAACAGAGCACTTTTGTATATCCAGTAAAAAAAATTATGCAAATCAGTTTCTTGGTTCAATATTTATACATCTCCTTTTGGGAGTAAGTCATCCACCAGTTCCATTTGTGTGCCTGTATCATTCTCCTTATCATTGCTTGTTACAGTTAAGTAATTTCAAAATCATCCATTGCAACTTGTTTTATAATTTCATTACAAAATGTTCTGTCAATTTTGTCAAGAAGTTTATCAGTTCTGTCCAAAAATGTGGCAGACAGATATTCCCAAATTTGTATTATAGATTTCTGCTCCATTTTCTTTATCCTCTAACTCTCACTAGTGTCCATCCTTCAAAGTCATCTTATCATAAAAGAACTCAAAACATTTGCCATTTGCCCAAGGGAAAATTTCTTCTAGTTAATTCAAAGCTCTTTGTGGGCATTTAAAATTATAATTCCAAGTCAATCTGAGCCCTTAACCTGTTGTTAAACTTTCTAAAGTCCATATTATGAGCACCCTTTAGCTATTTAATCCAAGAAGTAATATTTTTCAAAAGCTTTTAAAAATCACATTGAAAAGTTCTTTAAGGAGAAGGTGACTCACCTAGCAAATACAGTATAACTTGCCATTCCAAAGAGTCTTAATCCTTTTAAGGCAGCAGAAAAAAAAAAATCAAAGTTATTAAGAAGTGAGGCTCCGTTGAGCTTATTGTCCTTTAAAAGGCTGCATTAACAACTGTGAGCTACAATGGTTCCTCCCTTGACTCCCAGCCACTGAACCCATAGGCAAACCATGAAACAACGACTCCTGCAGTTTACTCACGAGGAGTGGCTGTGTGGAGTCACGTGGGCTATCTCAAAGATCTCTCCTTAATATGGAGAGCATTTCAGCAACCAGGATCCTGCATCTTGTGCCAATCTCCATGGTAATGTTGTCCCTCTACAAAAGGACATTTAGCTCTCAGTGGCTCTCAGCTGGAAGTTGCCTACATTTTTCGATGTGTTCTGTTGCTGAGGTCTTATAAGAGCTTCCAGACAAGACCACTGTGACTAGAGAAGCAAAGAAAAGACTAGCAAGAACCCAAAAAAATTCTCTCAAGCACCCTTTCTTTTAGTGTTTCTTAAAGTGTGGTCCAAGGATCCCTGGGGGTCCCCCAAGAGACTCTCAGGGATCCACAAAATCAAAATTATTTGCCAGATAATTAAGATATTTGCACAAAAAAAGAGTCACTTTTCTCTGTATTGTCGAAGGCTTTCACAGCCGGCA